CCAAGTTTGGAAGAAATTGGTGCAGCGGTTACCAAGATATACACATGTAACCATAAGTGGGCGTGGCTACGCCCATTTTCCAAAAATTTATAATATTCATGTTTTCCGTCTGAAACTCATTGTAAGTATCAATTTTGAGTGAATTATCTTCAGTAGTTACTAAAATATCGCAGTTTTCGTATTTCTTAAAATTACCGTTATATGGGAGGTAGGCGTGGTTATTATCCGATTTCGCCCATTTTCAATACCATCCGTCCCACGCCCAAAAGAAGTTCACGTACCAAGTTTCGTTAAGATATCTCAATTTTTACTCGAGTTATCGTGTGCACAGACGGACGGACGGACGGACGGACGGACGGACGGACGGACGGACGGACGGACAGACAGTCACCGCTTAATCGATTTCTCTTTTCATTCTGATCATTTATGTATACATTTGTCTATATCTATCTCGATTCGTTTTGCCTGTTACAAACAACCGTTATGTGAACAAAGTTATAATACCCTTGTGCACAAGTGCGCTCGGGTATAAAAATTCTTGCTATGATGTGCTGTGTTTATTTTTCCTTGGATAAATTAAGTCAAGTATAAACATGGCAGCAACATAGTTTTCCAGTAGTACTTGATTGTTTTTTAAACATATACGATTTAAAAACAACAAAAACATATTGTTTTATTTCAACCCGGCCTTGAGCTCAAATAAATCAATATAATAATCAATTGAATTTATTTCAATAATTTTTAACAAATTTGTTGCATCATTTCGTACGAAAAGTTTCAAAACGTAGTGGAAAATTGTTGCTATAATGTGCTGTTTTTATTTTTTCTTCGGATAAATTAAATCAAGTATAAACATGGCTGCAAGTTTTTCAATAGGAATTTGTAGAGCCAATGGAATTAAGGTCACCACAACACAACATATCTGTCATTTAATCGTATTATCGAATAGGTGGTGTACATTGATATTCGGTCTTTCTATTTTGGACTTTGAAGAATCAACACAATGCAGGATTTACGTGGAAATCAGCAGCTTTTTGGTGGTGCTTTGGTATTATTGCCAGGTGACTTTCGACAAACATTGCCCGTGATTCCACGATCAACACCGGCAGATGAGATCAATGCATGCTTGATGTCTCCCCTCTGTGGCGATATATGGCAAAAATTGGCATTACACATAAACATGCGTGTTCAATTGCACAATAATCGATTTGAAGATCGGTTCTCGAAGCAATTGTTAGAGATCGGAAATGGCAAAGTTCGAATCGATAATACAACTCAGGGTTGTTGCGAATATTCGCATTCGCAACCGCGGGGTTTCCGCATTAATTTTAACATTCGCATTCGCAAAAAGCAATGCGGATCTTTTGCGAATGCGAATATTGAAGGGACCGAAAATTACAGTTATTTTGTTTACGAGTTAAACTTGGCCAAATATTTTTTGATCCGAAATAAACGTACTATCCGGATAATAAACAAACCGCTTATCCAAATTAAACAAGTTTGGTATCCAATGAAAGAAGACTGAAATAGCAAACTGGAATGTCGAAACGAGGAAAGCCACACATTGAAAAATATTTCAATAAAAAATGTTAATTAATTACCATAGAACAAACATTGGGTCAGGTATGTATTTACATGAATTTCTTTAGTATTAAGTTATAAAAAAATTTAAATAGAGGTGGTAACCTTCATTTGTTATCTCTGTTTAAAATCTATTTCAGTCCTCTTTCATATGATACCAAATTTGTTTAATTTGGATATATGGTAATTTTTGGTCCCTGGAATATTGTACAAGTGCACAGACGTATATCGAACCAGTCACAGAAGAAAGCATTAAAAATGAGTTACAAAAACTAAAATCGAAAAACGCTGATGACGTGACAGTTTCTCCAAATTCCGAAACAACCAAAGAAATGAGAATAAAGAATTCTTTGGAAAAAAACGGTGTCTAAACGACGATTGTACCATGATGCTAGATTGTGAAGATGAAAGTCAGGAGGATACATCCGACATTTGCAGCCCCGATGAAATTCTCAAAAAGTAACTATTGCACCGCAATAAAAATAAATAAATATAACTGAAAGTCCTGTCAACTGGTGCAGTGTCAGTCGAAAAGAATATACAATTTTGCCAATTTTCAAGTTTTTCAAGTTTGTCGCCTCGAGCGAGTAGTTATATAGAGGCGCATGTTTGATTTACGACCCTACGAAAAGTTTTTATTATGTACAATGTTCCAATTTTTTAATTTTTTAGTACTAAAAAAACATTCAGTCTTATCATGAGTGTAATTTTCCCCGAACCGGTTCACT